TTATATTTTAATACTTAAAGTAAAAAAATAAGGATAGCATCATCATCGTCATGATTATTATTATTATTATTATTATTGTTGTTTTTGTTGTTGTTATTATTATTATTATTATTACTATTATACATTAACTTATTGTTTCTAATATTTATTTTAATTTATGAACTTCAGCTTTACTTAATTTGTCTATTTTAAATATACGTAAAATTCTATACTTAAATCTCTGAAAATAGAGAAAAAATTGACAAATTTAAATTGATTTATATAATTTATTTAAATATTTAAGATAAAATTTTATCAAAAGAAAACTTCCTAAAATGTTAGGTACTACGCCTATAAAATCAGTTTAAAGAAACATTAATTTATCTAATTCCTGTAGGAGAACTTATTTCTATATATTTTATATATGACTCAAAAAAGTATTACTTTTTGTTTTTAAGGATATACTTAATATTGTCAATTTAAAATAACTGATAATAAATAAAGATCCAACCATTACGTATAAAAATGAAAAGGTCAAGAATATTTTTTGGTTATATCTCGACTTGTGATTGTAATATAAAAGAAGATTTTACTAAAGAACATTAATTTATTAGAAAAAAATATTGTTTTTGTTTTAACTATATATTTATTATTTATTATTTATTATAAAACTTTATTAACAATTCATTAGTCCAAATTTCTCGAAAAATGATAACAATTTTAAAATGGACAATTTTAAATCATAACTTAATTAAATTCAAATAGTAAAAAACAATATTTCAAAATTAAAGCAATGAATTTTTAGATTAATTTTCACTAGATTAATTGATTGATAATAAAGTAATAAAGCAATCTTTAAATATTTGCCAAACAAAAATTTTACATACACATATGTAATTTAATAAAAAATAAGCGTGGTAAATTATTATTTTTTTATTATAAAAGTTTTGATTTAATATTTATTTATTTAAAAATATTATACAATAAAATAATATACATACATGTAATATACATCTATGTGCTTGTAATCTTTTACAAAACTATCTTTATAAAATAGTTGTCATGAAATAAAACTATTTCTTAGTAGCATTTATTGTAATTATAAATTCAGAAAATGCATTTAAAGAGCAATTTTCGATACACTTGTTACGCGATTGATAAATACTGTGTTTACATTATAAAATTCCGTTCGCACTGTAACTGGGCGACAAAACAAAACTTTCAACATTTTGTAGACTAGTGCTGTTGATGCAATTATTAGTATGTACACAACGTGATGAAAACACGTAACACTCTTTATCACTTTCAATATGTTTATTTTCATTTATCTACAATTTTTATTTACATCGCAAGTAGAAAATTGAAAATGTTGATCAAATAAAGAATCAATATCCTAGTAATATCTTATCATTTTAATTAAATTTTATTTTTTTAAATTTATTGGCTTCAAATAAATTTTAATTGTATTATTTATTATAAATCTATTTTAATATTCATTCCTTGAATCGAGGGCTTTATTAAATAAAAACCATACAAATGTAATGCTCCTTATCATTGGAAAATAACTAACTATAAATACAATTTTTTATTTATTTATTGAATAAATACTTTCATTTTTAATTATAAAATACTAATTATTTTTCGCATAAAATTTTAAACGACTATTTTATTGACTTTGTAAAAAAAGTTTAAATAAATACGTATTCAATATTATTCATTATGCATGTAGTTTTAATATGTTTATATATATATATATATATATATATATATATAAATATATATTGTATTTTATGTAAACCTGTCAATACAAAACTTGTGTAAAAAAGTGATTTTTCCACGAATTCTTAACATATTTATTTATTTTATATTTATACATTATTATATTTACATTATTATATTATTATATTATATTTATCCACTTTTATAATTTAATTTATAATATAATTTATAATTTAATATTTATTCTTTTTTATATTTTAATTTTTAATTTAATATTTATTATTTTTTGATAATTTAATTTATAATTTAATATTTATTGTGGATATTTATTCATGGAAAATTATCTTTACATATTTGAGAATGTAAACGAAAAATAAAATAATTCAATAAATAATTCAATAAATTAGTTATATATATATATCTTAATAAATATAAGAAAATATTTTTCAAATTAAAGAGATTTTATTTTTTATTAAAATATTTTATTTTGCAATATTTATGTAATATAAAATGATATTGAGATTCTTTTCTTAAAGTATATAAATAATCATCCAATTAAAAAACAGAAGATTTTCTTTTTATTAAGGAAAATTTACATGTATATTAATAATATTATAATTACAATCGTGTACCAGAAATGGAACTTAAGTTGTAAGTTTAGTGTAAAGAACTAATTCAAGAGCATAGAGTAAAATATGATGAACAATTATAATATATTCTATTAAATAATTAAATCTTAGATATATCTATACTTATTTAGATATTTTACATATTATGTACATATATTAACATATATTTAAGTACAACTATTTGTCTTATAATATTGCTATAATCATATACTTAAATATATATAAAATTTCAAAATTGATAAATTTGATTTAAAAAGTTTCTGTTATTGTGAAAATGATGTTTTTTAATTATTTAAAATTTTCATCTTTTATCTTTATAATATATTTCATTTGAGTATAAATTAGTTGTCGATATAAAAAGTAAATTTTATTACAATTATCTTATAATTATGTGTAATATAAATCATAAATTTATTTTATTTAATAACTATCGGTGTGTAAAAAATAGCTCTTAGTATTTATTATTTATGAAGACATATAATAGTTGAGTATGACTACATACAATTATATGTTATCGTATATGGTCATATATAATTATATGTAATCTAATATGAATCTATGATTGTAATTCACCATATGTAGCTACATGTAATCGCATATGATTATACCTGGTTACATGTAATTACATATGATCGCATGTGATTATATGTGGACACATGTAAACCTATATAATTACTTAAATTAATATGTGCTTGTATACGTTCGTCTGTAATAACGTAAAAATAAAAATAAAAGTAATTTTTTAATTTTAATTGAATAGTGCATTGTCAAAATTGTAATCAAATTTTTTTAAGCAGAAATTAGACTTTCAATCTTTTAAAAATATTTCTGGGATTGTTTAAATATGTAAATAATAGATTACTTATTATGACATTAAAATTAAAAAGCAGTATCAAATAAATTATATGTATTAATTTCATTCCCGTAAATTTTGTATATCTTATCTTAAAACTAATAATACTAATGATCTGCTATAAAAATACTACTAAATACTATAATGAAAAGCGTACTGATAATTCAGTAATAGTAATAAATAAGTGAAAAACTAATAAAATCGGTAAACTCTGATGAAAAGCAGGAAAACATAGTATTATCAAATATATCTAAAAGAATTTATCTCAATATGTTAATTATACATAAAATTTTGTACATACTTTGCATGTTGAAGTGTTAAATAATGTATATAACCGCACATTTTATTAATTAATAACATCATTATATTTTAGCACTTAAAAATGCATTTTGATTTTATATATAATTAATATAAATGTTTATATATCAAATGATGATCAATTGATTCTTGTTATATGTATATAAACATATTTTTAAATAAAAATTAATGTCTGTTTTTATGTAAAAAATTTATAAAACTAAATTATAAATAATTGTTAATCATCTATTACAAATCATAAAAGAGTTACATTAATTGTATAAATTAAGAAATCATAGTTTCTGTTTTATAAGATTATTCATTTGATAATATACTGATATTAAACAAATCTCATATCGATAATCTCATATCAGATAGAAAATGTTATAGTACTAAGTATGTTTGTCCTTAATCCTATATAAATAGGATCATTACTTCTGCAAATAAAATAAATATTAACGAAAAAGCTACACTTGCATCTGATTTTTACTCGACATTATAGTAATAATTGAAAATAGACACGTAACTATTATACTTTTCACGATATGCTTATAACATAGAAAGTTGATCATGAATTAGTTTATCCTATTTTTATGTTAAAACATGTTTTTAAATAGATGATATTATAAATATACATTATTCTTCTATTAAATTTATCAGATTGTTAAAGATACAGAGTTCCAAACTTAATATTAAGCTATCACATTACATTTATTATTATTATCATTATTATAATTATTGGAAATATCATCATTATCTTCATTATTATCCACATTGCAGTTTTTATTATCCTAATCATCATCATCAACTATTATCATTACGATCATCACAATGTATGAAATTACTATGTACAAAAATTATATGTAACATTTTTAAAATTCAAATTTTTACATTTCAGTTACAATAAATAATATTAAATAAGAATAAAAATGGTATTCCATTTCTTATCCGAATAAATTTAGCAAAATATGCTTCATATGTTTTCAATGAACTTATTTACTTTATAATGTAGCTATAATTAAATAAAAGTAAAAATCAACTATTCAAATTATTCGAATGAAATTGAAAAATCTCCATAAAAACAATGTGAGAAGGAAGCAATAAAAATAAAACATCATGAAACAATGAAATAAATAAATAAATACCGATAAAAGGGACTATGTATCAAAAAGGAAAGATTTATATAATAAAATATACTACAAAATTAAGACTTATAGATTCAAAATGGGTTTATAACCTATGATTTAATTTTATATAAATACATCATTACTCTATGCATATTTTCAAAAACTACATAACATCAATAAATATGTATACCCATATATTTCCAATCTTTGTGTTTACTAATTGAAAAACGCCAAAAATTATGCCTGTCCTTCCCTTGACCAAATTGGTATCTGTGTACTAACGATTGATTATAACTATTCCTCACAATCTTTCCATGGTTTTATCATTTTATATTTAAGTACCCGAACTAATTATAGTAGTTTTCCTCCCATAATTCTCCGTATTCGATGTTCTAGAAGCAGGCGCTTCCAAGAAACAGTGGATTATCAAGAGCTAATCGCAAGTGCGTTTCCTCCACAGTTCGTTTGTTTACAGGCTCAAGATGAATTATGTAGAGGGTAAATAACGCGAAATTACTGTATTTCTCATGTAATCACATATAATTTTTATGTATCATTATTACATAAAATACTATATTTAACGATGTGAGTCTGTAGTTTCGTAGTTTTAATGGTAACGATTGGACGCATGCGCAACTCGCAACAATGGTTATTTTTTTAGTCTTCAACAAATTGCCCAATTTTCGAATATTCTCTATTTTTCAAGTTTTGTAAGATTTCAAATAGCATAATTATTCACCTTATAGTAAAATTTGACTTATATAAAATAGTATTATTCTATAATAATTAGCATTTAGGTAGATACTAACCTTTTACCAATAGTATAACTAACTGGAACAAATTAAAAACTAAAAAATATGAAAAATATCTTATATAAGTTATATGAATAGTATATATACTCTGTGCTTTATTGAATTTCTTTCTTTAATACATTCACTATAATAGATTTACTATAGTAAGCTTATTACAATTTTAGATGATTTCGATGATCGATGTATATTTATGTTTAATATATATTATTAACTTTTATCTTTTATGTCTTATAAGTTTAGAAAAAAGTAATCGAAGACATATAAAAATGATTTTGATATACTAACTTTCATTAAATACCAATTATCATTGAAAAGTATTTCTAAATTATAGTATTTATCAAGCTATTTTAGAATAACTATTTTGTTAAACGAAATAATATATGTTCTTTCTTGATACATATGTGAATATTGTTAATAATTAAAATAAATATATTCAGTTTATTCAATTAATAACATTCTAAAGATTAAGAAAATCTTTTCAATGAAATAATGCAAACTGTAGAATATTTAAAAAATATATAAATTAGATCTCTTAATATTCAAATCTTAACTTTTAAGAGTTATGGTTGATAGAATGTATTTGAATGACATACACATATACTTTTAAAAGTATAATTAACTAATAAAAACACGAATACCGGCTGATTTATATGAATTTATAAGAAATTAAACAAAATTTAGAGATTTATAATTATTCACATAAATTTGAAAATTTTTTTGGTCGAAAATAGGATGTCATGAATGTATTAAGGCCAGTTTAAAATAATATTATTTCTTTTCATTATTAGCTAAATTTCTCTTTACCTTTTCTAATCTTCCAATCATATGATATTCTTTAAAATTAGTATATTAAATGAGCAATGGCTCGGAATATAATCTTAATTAACGATTATCAATTAATTTATTATCTTTGAATACAATTTAAACATAGTTTATTTAGTATATTTAAAATAAGCAGAATTGAAACTAAAAATAATTTTCAACAATATGAATAGGTAATACATAATAAAAAAAAGTATTTGAATATCCCATATGATAATAAAGAGTTGTAATTTATTTCATTTCATGTAAGATGTATAAATAAATCTAATAATTATATTATTGTTTCCATGAAAAGTAACTTTTATCATAAATTAGCATCAATATTTTTACTTTTAATATATTAATTGTGTTTATACGATATAAAATATTTCAAAACCAAAATATTTTTATGGAATTTTTAAAAAGTAATTATATAAAATTTAAAGTTTAGAATAGGATAAATCATAAAATGACAAGAATTAATTTTCGAAATAAATGTTCGATATCGATTTACAAGGAAATAAGATCAATCGCACGGAGCACAGATTTAATGAGATATAAGTATAATGTTAGGTTAAAAAATGCTGGAAGCACTTTGTAATATTTCGTATATTTTACTTAAATAGCAATTATGTCAAAAATCACGAACCATTAGAATGAGTTATAGTCTTTGCAAGTTATTATTTAGCATTAGAAGAAAGTCCTCGTAATTTTACTTAATTTTGTATTACATGATTCATATATTTCTTGTTAGTTATAATAAAAGTTTTAAAGAACAATGATTAAAATACGAAGAATAATAACTATTTGCTCAGTATCTACTATTGTCGAAATTGCAGTTGGAATTATAAAATAATCAACTACACATTATGGTAGTAATCGTGACTTTATAAGTCATAAATTTAGGTAAAAATGAATTTCGATTACTTAAACTTAACTACCTGCAGATAAATTTTAACATTTTTTCCTTGCACCGAGTACGTGTATAAAATGCAAAATCAATCATCAGATTTGTGTTCAAAGTTCGTGTTAAATAAAACATCGAGTAAACCGGTGTGAAAAATTTTATTTTGAAAAGTTCACACTTAACATTCTATCGACTGCTTTAACAAATAGTATTTACTAAAAATCAACGTGCATTATTGGTTTGCACGTCGTCGAGTCATAAACATTTAAATATTAAAAACATTCGAACATTGTAATAATACGAGTTTTCAAATTGATTGTGATTGATTGTGTAAAATATCGAAAACAATTTTGTTAACAGCATTGTTTAATATTCATGTTTAAAGCTTCGGAATACGTAATATGAAGGGTCATAAAAAAAACAAAGATCGATTTTATAATTGACATACTTGGAGTGACCTACTTAAGTATTAATTATGAATGTATAAGGTTTAAAATGCGGATAAGGTGCAGAAGAACTTGACAGAAAGAAAATAAGTTAAAAAATAGTATAAAAGGATAAAAAAGCAAGAAAAAAGCAAAGGAAAAAGATATAAGCTTATGTTTTTGGTCAACTAGTCAAAGTTTTATTTCTCTCTCCTTTCTCTCTATCTCCGTATCTTTATCTCCATCTCCGCTTCCTTTTCCCTTCTCTCTCTCTCTCTCTCTCTCTCTCTCTCTCTCTCTCTCTTTCTCTCTGTCTGTCTACCTGTCTGCCTATACATATAAACATTTGCGCGCTTACACATAGACACAATATATACATATATACATACATACATACATATATATATATATATATATATATATATATATATATTAACGCGCGCACGTGTGCATACACGCGTAATGTATACACACATACAAACACATGCATATATATACATCCCTCTCTGTTTTACACTCTCTTTCTCTCTTCTCTTCATTCTCTTTCTTTCTTTCTCTCGACCTTGATCACTAACCAACTATCGCGCTGTAAGAACTCGACTTGAAGTTGCAAATGCCTGCGCTCCAAGTTGTTCGCCGGCCTCTTTTTTCTCTCCCCCCATCCCTCCATCCATTTCACTCGGGAGTTGCGTTCGACGAATAGTTCCTCCCTAATGTCGCGGAGAGTTTTACATGCCGTAGCGACATTAAAACGTCGCTATAATTTTATTAGGAGCATCGTCGAGATAGTAGTAGTAGTCGATGGGATTGGTAGCAGGGCAGAGCAGTAAGTCGGGGGAGAAAGAGGCCGACCAAAGGAATATTAATTACGGTCACAGAAAGTGCAGGAGTGCAGGAGTGCAGGAGTGGAAAGGCGCGCGGAATTCCATTCGGTTAATCCGTCGGGCAGTACGAGGGTGGACGATGATGCTTGTGGCGGTGGTAGCTGTCGGTGCGGCGAGAAGCCGCGAAGGGGAGGGGTAGGCGCTAGGAAGAAGGTCAAGCGGGCCGAGTTGCTTTCCACGATTCCACGGGATAATTGTACGTCGTCGTGCCTTCTTTTTTCGGCGAGAAAACCGCCCGAGCAGGGCCCCGGTGCGCCCGGCTGAAAAGAAGCACACTCTTCTAAGAATGCAAAAAGGAGAAAAAGCGAGGCCGGCCGAGGGGGGACGGCGAGCCCGGAGTCCGTCGCAAAGACAATGGAACATCCCGAGACTACGAACGATTAATCAAGGTGTGTAACGTAATCGAAGCAAGCGCTGGCAGATGCTCACAGACAAGGGGTCGCCTAGGGGCTTAGTCTTGTTGATTTTCCAACGTAGACGTGCGCTGAGAAAAATCCCTCGAGTTCGTTTGATTATCTCGGTTCTTTTAATGGCCTCTTAACCATTCCAGCCATTTACATATTTTGTCTATTTTATCGAGCGTATTGTCAGTAAAGCAGAATACACAAATCCGAGGAATGTGCTCGGCAAAATTACTCGAGTCAACCAGCTTAGCTTATCTTGCACGAAGAAAAAAAACCACCGGATTTATATGCCCAGCTCACTCATTACTGATATTTACTTGTGAATTATATTTGTATTGTAATTGTATTAAATAATGATCTTTCTCCAGTGTACTCCATAAATTCGTAAATAATCATTTTAATACTCTAAAATACTTGTTTACATCTATATAAACATTTTTTTTTAAGTAGAATAAAAATTTACAAATATGTTAAGCTAAGTCACGATTCCTTCAAAATAATAATGATCCTTTCAGTTAGAAAAGAATTTTCTTAAATTTCTTAAAGTAAAACTATCGTTTTCATATTCAATGCATACATTCATTCACGCATGCATGCATGTAAGGAAACACGCGCGCGCGCCTTTCACTTTCGTCAAAAGATCGTATTTTGTATTTGCAACTGTTCAAAAAATACTTCTTGCGGCATATTTCACATTACATAATTGCTCACGAAGATTTCAACATCCTTTTATCGTCAAAATCGGAATGCTGAAACAACTGGATTATCTCAACAAGGGCACGCAAAGTTGTATTGTGGACAATTCTATCGCGATAGACTGGATCTGTGGTATTCGATGTCTTAAGCGTGGTATCTCTGGTTACGCAAATACAATGTTTATAATTGCACTAACTCGCATCTCGATATAAATATTCCTTAATGAAATGCCTCGGCTTTATTCAATTCGCAAGAGTCAAAGAACTCAGATATAAAGCACTAAATGTTAAATGTGTTAATAACAGCGGGCTCATATGTATGAGTTTTCAAACAATTGGTGTACAATATTTAATTCCATTTGGGCAGCAACTACAGGAGTGTCATACCGATCTCGCCCATACCATGCGAAACCAATGATGGGAGAATTTGACCAATTGGCGA